CCAAAGGCCAACTGAAACCATCTATAAGATGAGTTACCTCCCTTCACGTGCCCATTGCCCTGTTCTCTTATGCACTGGCCAGTTTTCATCCCATTTGAGGCAGCAAATACGTTCTAAAAACATTGTCTGTGGAACATCCGCTTTTGCTCTCATATCTCCTCAACCAGGATCTTCAAAAGGTGGGAGGCACTACTGTGTAGTGCAGGGGTGGGCAAACTTTTTGACTCGAGGGCCACAATGGGTTCTTAAACTGGACCGGAGGGCCGGAACAAAAGCATGGATGGAGTGTTTGTGTGAACTAATATAAATTCAAAGTAAACATCATTACATAAAAGGGTACGGTCTTTTTTTTTTTAGTTTTATTCATTTCAAACGGGCCGGATTCGGCCCGCGGGCCGTAGTTTGCCCACGGCTGGTGTAGTGGGAAAGACTATGCATTGACCAGCTGTTGACCTTGACCCTCCGCATCTCTGAGTCTATAAAAGTAAGATTGCTAATGATTCCCTTTCAGGGATGGGTAAGGATTAGAGAAAAGACTGCTAATAAGATGCTTAGCATAGTACTTGGCATGTGTCAAGTGTCCAGTGAATGGCATTTATCAGAGGCTGGAGGATGGGCCAGGAGACTAACAAGTCCCTTGTCCTGCTCTTCCCATGTTAGTAAACACCTCAAAGCAGTGATCAGGCTTCCTCAGGCTCAGAGCAATGCCAGAGCTTCTTGTTATCTCTGTTTATAAAGAGGAAGGATGGAGGGTCAACATGAAGACAGTCCCTAACCCCTCTGGGAAATTCATGTCCTTTGGGATATGCAAACTCGACCCCAAACAAAAAGAACCTAACGGGAGCCCAAAAAGGCAGAGATTGAGTCTCACGGATCACCTCTGTATCCCTAGAACTTGGCGTGTAGTCGGTGTGAATTCTAAGAAGGCACAGAATTCGTGTTTTATTCGCTGTTGTATTTATAGCATGTAGTAGATGCTCAGTAAATAAATGTTGAATGTGAATGAATGTGAGAATGCATGAATGCTGTACTGCCTGTAGGTTGCCTATCCCAAGCCATTCCCTCCTTTTTTCCTTGGTAATGAAATCTTGATATCATTCAGGTGACAACCTGCTGCCCCCAGAAGAGACTCCTGATTTCCTATCAGGGCACTCCAGTTCCTCCTCACCAGGGATTGGCCTGGGATGATCATGTGACACAGTTCAGCCAATGAGACTAAGAAAATAATCAGGGATTCTGGGAAAGATTTTCCTTTAGCTTTAAAGGAGAGAGATGTGAAGAGAAAATGCCTCTTTTGTCCCCACCTACTGGTATGTCCCTGCTTTTGCATATTACTATGCCAAGACAATTCCTGGAGTGAAGGCAGTCATTCATAAGCAAAACTGAACAAGCCCACGGATGAGAAACCACCTCTCTGAAGATGGCAATGTGTCGGATGGAATGGATCCTGACGAGATGACTCAGGTGAGCTTCTGAGCTACCAGGACCCAACAGATGACATGATGTCCAAGATGAATGCACATTTTCAGGAGTTCAGCAGATATTCTTGTTAATTTCAGCCAAAGCATCTTCCATTAACTTGTTGAGCCTTCATGATATTGTTATGGGCTGAATTGTGTCCCCCCAAAATTCATATGTTAAAGCCCAAACCCCTAGTACCTCAGAATGTGACTGATAGCACTTTTATTTTATTTATTTTTAAGTATTGATTTTTTTTAGAGAATAAGCATTCATTGGTTGGTTCTTATATGTGCCCTGACTGGGGACCCAACCTGCAACTTTGACATATCAGGATGATGCTCTAACCAACTGAGCTACCCGGCCAGGGCTGATAGCACTTTTAAAGGGGTGATTAAGTTAAAGTGAGTCCATTAGGTTGGGCCCTCATCCAATCTGACTGGTGTTCTTCTTCTTTTCTTTTAAAATATATTTTTGTTGATTTCTGAGAGGAAGAGAGAAAGAGAGAGAGAATGAATCATCAATAATGAGAATCATTAAATTAGCTGCCTCCTTCACGCCCCCTACTGGGGATCGAGCCTGCAACCCGGGCATGTGCCCTGACTGGGAATCGAACTGTGACCTCCTGCTTCATAAGTCGATGCTCAACCACTGAGCTACAGTAACTGGGCCTGACTGGTGTCATTCGAAGAGGAAATTTGGACACACAAAGAGACACTAGGGATGCAGGCCCCCAGAAGGAAGACTATGTAAGGACACAGTGAGAAGAGGCTATCTGCATGCCAAGGAGAACAGCCTCAGAAGCCCTGCCAACACTTTGATCTTGGACTTCCCAGAAATGTAAGTAAATAAATTTCTGTTATTTAAGCCACCCAGTCTGTGGTCCTTTGCTATGGTAGCCCTACAAAACTAAGACAGATAGATATCTATCAGTATGATCAATATATTATCACCATTATTTAAAAAAATCCTTATCTCTGAATCCTTGTTCCCAGGGTGCAGATGGGTCCTAAATGAAGAGAGCTTGCCTTGGTGCCTCAGTATTTTGTAATAAGGCAATGGTATCAACTAAAGACTGGCTCTCTCATGGTCCTCCACTCGTCAACACAACCACCTGATACTTCATTCAATAAAAATCTAGCAAACATCCATCATGCACTGGGGCTGTGTGGAATTGTCACAGATTATGGTACACATTGAAGTCAGACTGCCTGGCTTGGCTTCCTAATTCGATCTCTTAATAGCTGTGTATCCTAAGGCAAGTTGGTTATCTTCCCTGAGCTTTCTCATCTCTAGAATGATGCTAAGAATACCCATCTCATACGATTATATAAGGCCAGAGCGAGCTGTTACATGTGGAGTGCTTTGCAAAGCACTTGACTCAGAAAATGAGCTCAATGGTTGGGGGCATTGCTTTTCTGAAGACACAAAATGGACAAGAAAGGAGAACATGTCAGTTTTCATTTATACCAGTGATTCCCAAAGTGGGCGCTACCCCCCCCCCATGGGCGCTGCAGCGATCCAGGGGGGCGGTGATGGCCACAGGTGCATTTGGGGGTGATGAGTAACTGCTATTAAAATTTTAAAAAAATTAATTTCCAGGGGCTGAGTAATATTTTTTCTGGAAAGGGGGCGGTAGGCCAAATAAGTTTGGGAACCACTGATTTATACTTTTAATAAAGGAGAATATGTCATGTTTTCATTTATAATTTCAATATAATCCTCCCAACAAACCTTGTGACATATGTATTGCCATCCAGTTTTGCCAAGTGAGGATGCAGCTTTCACAGCCTGGGAATAAATAACCCTGACATGGATACACATGTTTAGACCAGATGGCAGAATAAACTGGCAAGTATTACGGGACTTAATGGGAAATGCAGGTCAAAGGGAAGTGGCTTCTGAGAGAAGGGGCCAGAATAGGGAGGCAATAACATTGATGGATAACTGTTTGGGGCCAGGTGCTTTTACTAGATCTTTGATCTACAATAACCTTGAGATTTTGATATCATTATGCCCCCATTTTACAGTTAAGGAAATAGAGGTTCAAAGAGGACAAGACACACAGAAAAGGGAGGAATGTGAATCTGGTATCAACACAAGTTTGTACATCTGCCCTGGATGTGGGCTTCTCAATGTCTGCTGCACACAGAGAATCATCTAGAGCAGTGGTTCTCAACCTTGGCTGCACATTAGAATCACCTGGGAATCTTTTTAAAATCCTGATTTCTGGGCCTCATCCTCCAGAAATTCTGTTTCTTTGTTACTAATGTTGTGGCCCCACCCCATAACAAAGAAAGAATTTCCGGAGGATGAGGCCCAGAAATCAGGATTTTAAAAAAGATTCCCAGGTGATTCTAATGTGCAGCTAAGGTTGAGAACCACTGATCTAGAGACATTTTTAGGACATTAAATGGCTGGGCTCCATCTTCAGGGATTCTGAATCATGGCTCTGGAGTGGGGCCCAGCCAGGTGAAAGGAATGTGCAGCCAGAAGGAAAGCACAGCCAGCTGCTGTCGGAACTGAGCCCTGAGCTACTGGAACACAGTCTCCGCCCGGGCCTGACAGTAATTCCACTCAGCGGCCGCACCACCCTCTTTCCTTAGGGAATGGCTGGTTCTTTCTTTAAGCAGCACAAGTTAAGATGAGCTCACGAATTTATCACCCAACATTCCCAGCAACTGAATATAGATTTTAGGCAATGGCATTGCATCAAGATTCACAAATATAGGGAGATCCTAAAATCAAATTCAGGCATCCTTTCTCCCTCCTGATAGGCCAGGAAGTTAAGCTGAAGTTTGTTCTTGGTTTCCTCCATTTATTGTTTAAATAGGTACATAAAATATTTTATGTTTACTTCTCCAAAAGAGAAATACGAATTAAGTTGCTCTTTACGTATGATTTGGAGGGTGGGGATGGGGAGTGGGGTAGGAGGCTCAGCAACCTTTATTTAAAACCAAACCAAAAAGTCCTTTCCCGTCTCTGCAGAACTTCTCATGATGTGCAGCAGGAATTCACATGATTAGCGTGCTCTTGGCACCCCCTGATTCCAGGTGTCTTTTCTTCTTCTTCTTCAAGACAATATGAGTGCTCATCAATGAGTCCAGGTGTCTCTGATGGTCCTGACAGCCTCCCTCCTGATTATAAACCACCCCCACCTCCTGGTCGGATTATTTCAGATGGCTTACCCAAGCTGAACGCACTGCTAAATTGTCTCTCCAATCTAAGCCCAGCAAGAAACTAGCTTTTCTCCCTTAAACCAAAAGTGGAACTGGAAAGCGAGAGACAATAGGAGGATTAAAGATTAACTAGGACACGTGGCTGGGGAATTGACATTTGACCAAACATAAGAAGCCCAGGTGCAGCTTCCCCCTGGTAGGTGAAGAGATACCAGGCCCTCAGAGAAGGAAAAGCCAAGGGAGAAACAGGGCACGCCAGGAGGGAAGCTGCCGGAGGCGCAAGGAGGAGCCAGGGAGCAGTCGCCTTGAACACAGAGGAGTGTCTGCTCACTGTCAATGTCACTCTCCCTCGGGGCCTGTGCGATGGAGGTACTATTTGGCAGAAATAAGAAAGAACAACCAGAGCCTGTGAGAGCCAAAGTGACAGGTGAGTGTTTTGTACAAATGATTGGCTCCTCTGATGTTTAGATGTATGCTTTTTTCTGCTTTTTAAAGTTATTTCTGGAAAACAGTATCTGGGAGAAAATGACCCATAAACCAGACACATTCTCTGTGACAATCTAGGTGTGCTTTTGTATATTATAACTCGGTTTCCAAGGAGAGGGAACTGTCCTCACTATTTCCAGGAGAAAAGTCCCAGGAATGCTGCATCTGGCATATACTGGTATACAACGGGATTATTCTGCAAAATGTGGCCCATTCCAACTGGGTGCTGTATTTGTGCAAATGTGTGTATCCTGAATTAATTTCAAAGTGGTGCGAGAAGTGGGGTGAGTTCCCACTCCTGCATGTGCTCACCGGAAGGCATGGGGAACCTGATGTGATGTCCTCCCAGATACCACAGGGGTGGTTTGGGCATGGAGTGCCTGCAGAGCCAAAAGACCCATTCCTTGTGTCTCCTTTATTTCTCTGGCTTTCTCCTCTTCTGCATTGCAACTTGACTTTCTGGTACCGTCTTGTTTAGATTCTACATACAGGCTAGTGACTGGGTCTGAACTCTCGGGTCCCCAGCTTGTCGTTTGCTCTGTGTTCTGAGAACAGCATGTGGGGCAGCTCAGGCTCAAAGTTCATCTTTGGAGAAATTAACTGGATATTTTACGTGAGGAGAGGAAAACAGTGAGCATTCTTTAGGAGGAAGGTCAGATTGGAGCTTTTCAGCTGAGAATTTGCCTTGGAAATTGCATAGTGCTCAATAAATGTTGTTCCTATTATGTATCTATGACATTACCTCTATGCTCCAATTCACCTCTCACCTGCTCCTTCATCCTGGGTTTCTCTGAATAGTCCCCCCAAGGGGACTTAGTGTCCCAAGGCAAGAGACTTACTTGGCTTTTTTTTCCTCCCCTTTCCTCCATATTTTTTTTAAATAAATCTTTATTGTTCAGATTATTACAGTTGTTCCTCTTTTTCCCCCCATAGCTCCCCTCCACCCAGTTCCCACACCACCCCCTGCCCGTACCCTCCCCGCACTGTCCTCATCTATACGTGTACGATTTTTGTCCAGTCTCTTCCCACACCCCACACCCCCTTCCCCCTGAGAATTGTCAGTCCACTCCCTTTCTATGCCCCTGATTTGATTCTATTCACCAGTTTATTCTGTTCATCAGATTTTTTATTCATATGATTTTTAGATTCACTTGTTGATAGATATGTATTTGTTGTCACTTTGTTGTTCATAAATTTTTTATCTTTACCTTTTTCTTCTTCTTTCCTCTTCTTAAAAGAATTCCCTTCCAGCATTTTCATATAATACTGGTTTGGCGGTGATGAACTCCTTTAGCTTTTTCTTTTTTTTTTTCTTTTTATAAGCTTTTTAAAAAAAAATATTTTATTGATATTTTTACAGAGAGGAAGGGAGAGGGATAGAGAGCTAGGAACATCAATGAGAGAGAAACATTGATCAGCTGCCTCCTGCACACCCCCTACTGGGGATGTGCCGGCAACCAAGGTACATGCCCTTGACCGGAATCGAACCTGGGACCCTTCAGTCTGCAAGCTGACGCTCTATCCACTGAGCCAAACCGGTTAGGGCTCCTTTAGCTTTTTCTTACCTGTGAAGCTCTTTATCTGACCTTCAATTCTAAATGATAGCTTTGCTGGGTAGAGTAATCTTGGTTGTAGGTTCTTGCTATTCATCACTTTGAATATTTCTTGCCACTCCCTTCTGGCCTGTATGGTTTCTGTTGAGAAATCAGCTGACAGTCGTATGGGTACTCCCTTGTAGGTAACTAACTGTTTTTCTCTTGCTGCTTTTAATATTCTCTCTTTGTCTTTTGCCCTTGGCATTTTAATTATGATGTGTCTTGGTGTGGTCCTCTTTGGATTCCTTTTGTTTGGGGTTCTCTGTGCTTCCTGGACTTGTAAGTCTATTTCTTTCACGGTAGGGGAAGTTTTCTGTCATTATTTCTTCAAATAGGTTTTCAGTATCTTGCTCTCTCTCTTCTTCTGGCACCCCTATAATTCGGATGTTGATATGCTTGAAGTTGTCCCAGAGGCTCCTTGCACTGTCTTCATATTTTTGTATTCTTTTTTCCTTTTGCTTTTCCAGTTGGGTATTTTTTGCTTCTTCGTATTTCAAATCTTTAACTTGATTATTGGGATCCTCTAGTCTGCTGTTGGATCTCTGTATATTATTCTCTTTTTTTAATTTTTAAAATATATTTTATTGATTTTTTTACAGAGAGGAAGGGAGAGGGATAGAGAGTTAGAAACATCGATGAGAGAGAAACATCGATCAGCTGCCTCCTGCACACCCCCTACTGGGGATGTGCCCGCAACCAAGGTACATGCCCTTGACCAGGATCAAACCTGGGACCCTTCAGTCCCCAGGCTGATGCTCTATCCAGTGAGCCAAACCAGCCAGGGCTGTATATTATTCTTTATTTCAGTCAGTGTATGCTTAATTTCTAATTGATCCTTTTTCATATCCTTGAGGGTCTCACTAAATTTATCAGCGGTTTCTAGAAGATTCTTGAGTAACCTTATAACTGTGGTTTTGAACTCTATATCCAGTCGTTTGCTTTCCTCCATTTCTTTCATTTGTGACCTGTTTCTTTGTCTCTGCATTTTGGCTGCTTCCCTGTGTTGATAGAGTGGCTTTGTATGCTAGGTGTCCTATAGGGCCCAGTGGCTCAGCCTCCCTAATTACCTGAGATGGACACTCTAGGTGCACCCCTTTGTGGGCTGTGTGCACAGTCTTGTTGTAGTTAAGCCTTGATTGTTGTTGGTATCCCTGGGAGGAATTGACCTCCAAGTCAATTGACTGTGAGGACTAGTTGTGTCTACAATGGGAGAACTTCTGTGCTGGAGACACCCTTATGGAGCAGGACTTGCTTCAGTGGGACTTTGGCGCTCACTGAGTCTGCCCCCTTGAGTGTGTCTCTTATGGATGTGAAGAGTTGTAATCTGGATGGTCTCACTCTGACCACTGGGTAGACTGGCTCTTGAATCTCCAAAGAGGTACAAAGTCAGCCACTGCCCGAGGCCACCCAGCAGGAGCTACAGAGAGATCTGCAGATTCCTCCTGTTTGTTTGGGGTTTGGAGGTGCCCAGATGAGGCACAGCTGTGAAGGAATGCAGGCTGCTGATGAGCCTTAGGCCTTCTTTTGGAAGCTCTGGGGTTCTCTGACCCAGCTACAGTTTAACAGGTTTTTAGGGGGAGAAAGGCCAGGCCATTCGTATGCAAAAGCCTCTGCTCACAGCTTGGGTGGGGTTGTAAATTGGGTGGTGCGGGGGTCTCAGGGAGTCACCAGGGTGGAGCAAACTACAATGGCTACCAGTCTGCTCTGCCTTGGAGAGGTCCTGGGGTCTGTGTCCCGCAGCCCCGTGTAGGAACAGTGAACACTGCAAACACCTCTGTGAGAAAGTCGCCCTCACATTCTGGCCCAATGCCAGACAGTATAGTTTCTCTCCATATGAGTCTGGGTCCCCAAATTCTTGCCCAGAACTGGAGTTCAGAGCAGTTGGGAGCTTGTATCTCCCACCCTATTGAAAAAGACAACAGCCCCTTTCGAGCATGCCTCTATACCTCCATACTTCCACACCTGCACTCCTCCTACCGGACTCAATGCGTGTTTCTCTTTCCTTCTATTTGTAGAATTTCCACTCAGCCAGCTTTCCTGTGGTTCTGGATGATATTCGTTTTGTCTTTTAGTTGTAGTTTTAATGTGGTTGTGTGCGACAGCAAGTTCAGGTGTTTACCTATGCCGCCATCTTGGTTGTCTCTGTCCTTTCCTCCGTATTTAGTCCAATTCTGAGTCCTATGAGTTCTGTCATCCAAGTCTCTTTGCTGTCCACACTCCATAGCACAGCCAGAGACAACTTTCAAAATCCCAAATCTGAGCATATTTCATTGATATGAGATGTTCAGAAGAGGCAGATCCTTAAAGACAACAAGTAGATTAGTGGTTGCCCAGGGACTGGGGCTGGGGAGTGGGAATGACTAATGTGTGGGTACAGAGCTTCTTTTGGGGGTGATGGAAATATTCTGGAATTAGATAGTGGTGATGGTTGCACAATATTGGGAATATACTAAAAATCCCTGAATTATACACTTCAAAATGGTGGATCTTATTTTGTGTGAATTTTCTGAATAAAAAAAAAAATTGCACCCATCAGCAGACGAGTGGATTAGAAAACTGTGGTACATCTACACAATGGAATTCTACGCTGCTGTAAAAAAGAAGGAATTCTTACTATTTGCAACAGCATGGATGGAACTAGAGAGCATTATGCTAAGCGAAATAAGCCAGTCAGAGAAAGATAAATATCACATGATCTCACTCATTTGTGGAATATAATGAACAACAAACTGATGAACAAAAATAGAGCCAGAGACATAGAAGTATCGAACAGACTATACAACCTATGAAGGAAGGTGGGGGTGGGGTGAGGGGGTAAGAGATCAGCCAAAGGACTTGTATGCATGCATATGAGCAAAACTAATCGACACAGACAGTAGGGGGGTGAGGGCTTGAGGTTGGGGGTGGGGGTGGCAAAGGAGAGGTCAATGGGACGAAAAGAAGACTCATGTAGTACTTTAAACAATAAAGAATTAAAAAAAAATTGCAGCCGGGTCAGCATGCCTTAGTGGTTGAATGGCGACCTGTGAATCAGGAGGTCATGGTTCAATTCCAGGCCGGCACATGCCCAGGTTGCAGACTCAATCCCCAGTGGGTGGTGTGCAGAAGGCAAGGTGATCAATGCTTCTCTCTCATCCATGTTTCTATCTCTCTCTCTCCCTTCCTCTCTTTCTAAAACAATAAAAACATATTTTTTTTTGTAATGTCAAAAAAAAATCTGATCCTGCCCTGGCCAATGTGGCTCAGTTGATTGGAACATCATCCCGAACACCCAGAGGTTGCAGGTTCGATCCCTGGTTTGGGTGCATGTGGAAAACAACCTGTCGATGTTCTCTCTCACATCAATGTTTCTTTGTTCTCTCTTTCTCCCCCTCCCTTTCTCTCTAAAATCAGTAAGCATATCCTCAGGTAAGGATTTTAAAAAGTCTGATCCTATTATTCTCTGTTATAACCGTCAAAAGTGTCCCATTCTTCTGAACATAAAATCAAAGCCCTTGGAGTATGGTCTTGTTGACCTTTGTCACTTGGCCCCTGCTTACCTCTCTAACCTCAATACTTATGATGTTCTCACTCAAAAATTACAGTCCAGCCCTGACCGGTTTGGCTCAGTGGATAGAGCGTCGATCTGTGGACTCAAGGGTCCCAGGTTCGATTTCGGTCAAGGGCATGTACCTTGGTTGCGGGCACATACCCAGTAAAGAGTGTGCAGGAGGCAGCTGATCAATGTTTCTCTCTCATCGATGTTTCTAACTCTCTATCCCTCTCCCTTCCTCTCTGTAAAAAAATCAATAAAATATATTTTTTTAAAAAGTGTCATGAATCAATGGCAATACAATGTTTGTTGTTGTTTTTTTAAAAAAACATTACAGTCCAGTCTCACTCAACAGCTGGCACATCTCCTGGTCTTTAGACTGGTCTTTGATCTCTTGGTTTGGGTTCTTTCAGCGACAAGCATTCAGGTGTAAGTAGTTTATTTGGGGCTCGATTCTAAGAAATACTGGGAGGGAAGCCAAAAAAAAGGAGCATTTCAAGACACTGACCACTGGGAACCATTGGAGCTGAATCCTCTGGGCATAGTATAGCACTTGCCTCACATTGTCCCAGCTCAGGGCAAGGAAGTGGTGGCATTTGACCCCCCACGCCCCACCCACTGATGCGTGAGAACTGCCTCCAGGGACGTTAGCTCTCCAAGGTGCTTCCAGCTTGTCCAGCACTTGAGCAGAGCAGCTCCCAGCAGGAGAACAAAGCCCTCAGGGGAGGTGGGTGGGGACCAACACCATCCGCTACAGCACTCTATCTTTGGAGCAGTGCTGTCCAATAGAAATATTATGCATGCCATATGTGCAATTTTCAGTTTAATAATATCCACATTCAGAAAAGTAAAAAGAAACAGGTGAAGTTAATTTTAGTAGTATATTTTATTTTGCACACCAGACATATCCAAAATATGACCAGTTTGACATGTAATCAATATTTTAAAAACTGCTAATGCAATATTTTGTATTTTTTCATAGTCCCTGAAACCCGGTGTATATTTTATACTTAAAGCACATTTCAGTTTGGACTAGGCACATTTTAAGTGTTTAATCGCCACAGGGGGCTGGAGGCTACCATACTGGATTGCACAGCTCTAAAATGTTATTTCCTCCGGCAACTTTCCCTCCAGTCTCATCCAAGTTGCTTCCCCTAGGAAGCAGCTCTCACCCTACTGCACTCCCCTCACCTCCTGGCTGCATCTTGCATTGCCTTTAGCACAGTTCATTTTGACTGTTCATTCTTCTGTCTCTGTCTCTCAATGGACGGAGAGCAACTTAAGGACAGGGGCGATGCCTCTTCATCTTGGTATCCTCAGGGCTGGCACCATATCAGGCATATGACACACTTTCTGGAAATGACTGCTAGGTAAATGAATGGATGTAGTGAGTGGTATGGCCTCAATTCCCTTCCATGGTCATTTCTCCTAGCTTTTTGGTTTAGACATGGAAACTGGAAACTAAACATTCTTTCTCTTAACAGGCAAGATCCCAACCTGGCTACAGGGAACACTGCTTCGAAATGGCCCTGGGATGCACACTGTGGGGGAGACCAGATACAACCATTGGTTTGATGGCCTAGCCTTGCTCCACAGCTTCACAATTAGAGATGGTAAAAGCACTATATTAGCTTTCTATATGATGTAACAAGTGACCATGAATTTAGTAGCTTCAAATAATACAAATTAAATTTTTTTTATAGTTCTGGAAGTTGGGAGTCTAAAATGGATTTCACTGGGCTAAACTCAAGGTGTTGGCAGGGCTGCATTCTTTCAGGGCTCTAGGAGATAATTCACTTTCTTGCCTTATCCAGCTTCAGAAGCTACCAGCATTCCTTGGCTTGTGGCCCCATCTTCCTCTTCAAAGCCACCTCTCTCTCTTTCTCTGTTTCTGTCTCTCTCTCTGATTCTGTAATCACATATCCTTCTCTGACTCTAACCTTCTTATCTCCCTCTTATAAGGATCTTTATGATGACATTGAGCACATCAGATAATCCAGGATCACCCTCCCTCTCAAAGTAATTAAGTAATTACCTTAATTATATATATGAAGTCTCTTTTGCCCTGACAGGGAACTTATTCACAGTTCCAGGGACTAGGACATGGACCTCTTGGGGAGGTGATTATTCAGCCCACCATAAGCATAAACCTCCCTGGAAAGGTGGCCAAGGTTCCTTTTCAAAGAGTTCAACTTGCAAAATAATATGTATTCTCAATAAGGTGGGCAACCACAGGCAGAAGATTACAGGCTTTGGAATCAAACATGCATCAAATCAAAATTGGGGGAGTACGGAGCTGAAAAGATCAAAGTTGAATGCATTGCTCAGAAGAGCCATGTCACTCAAGTAATACATTCAGTAGCTCTCCCTGAGTGGACACAGAATATAGGGCAGAAAGTAGGGAGTGCCACCGATAAGGCGAAATTCTGAGTTCAGGGTACTGGCTCAAGAAGTGGATTGTAGCCCTAACTGGTTTGGCTCAGTAGATACAGCGGGTCCTGGGTTCAATTCCCGTTAAGGGCACATACCTCAGTTGCAGGCTTGATCCCCCACCCTGGTTGGAGAGCACGTGTGGAGGCAACCAATCAATGTGTCTCTCACACATCGATGTTTCTCTCTCTCTGTTTCTTCCTCTCCCTTCCACTCTCTCTAAAAATCAATGGAAAAATATCCTCAGGTGAGGATTAACAACAACAAAAAGTGGAGTGTAAACTCTTTGCTGTTGGCCACTGGCTGGTTTATGTCACAGCAGCATGAGCTGAGTTCTCCAAGAGGTCCAGGATGGCTTGCATGAGGCTTTAATAGGCTCAGGGGCACATGGTGGGAAAATTCATGTTCAAGAACTTCAGCTCGGTGAACTTTTTCTTTAACCCCTGTGCTTTAGGCTGGGCAATCTGTGGTCACTCACCTCCTTTGGCCTCTGCAGTGAAAAGAGCATAATCATCCTCCCCTGATTGCTGTTGTGATGCTTAGAAGTATAGATGACTAGCAAGGGCCTGGCACCTGGGAGACGCTCAGTAGATTAAAAACCATTATCACTATTTCTGGGGTTGAATCCCAGCTCCACCATCCTAGCTAACATGCACCTATGTTGTGTGACCTTGGCCAAATATCTCATAGAGTTGCTGTGGAATTTAAAGGCATTAATATGTGTAAGAAGCTTTGTATAATGTCTGGCATATAATCCGTGCTCAATAAGCATTAACAATTATTTTTGCATAACTATTATTTCTTCCAAGCCAGTCAGCAATTATTGACTCTATGCCAGCAATTTGCTCAAACGTTTCAGGAATGTGTGAAAACCATGAGCTCTGTTTGCAAAAACTTAGACATTTGACTCAGACTGCGCTGCAGAGAGGGTGGTTCCATATTTCCTGATAGCCCCAAGCTCTAACAATCTCCTCCTTTTCTAGACAGAAGTCACCAATGGTTCCGGGGGGAATAAATGCTGTGCTGGCTGAGGTGCCTAAAAGGTGGCTTCCTTTCTGTGAGGCTCTGCCTCACCAGCCTGCCAGGTCCTCTGTGGCCATATCTGGTGCTCATGTTGATACTGTAGGAGGTGTTCTGGTCCCCTCTTTGCAGGTGCAGAAATGGAAACTTTAGAGAGGTTGAGTGACTTATCCAGGTCGGGCTGAGGTCTCAACTTGTGTTGTCTGGAGTTTAGTTTGCAGCCATCCTCCTCCCTCGCCACACACACACACACACACACACACACACACACAGCCATTCCCTCCCCCAAACCAGACCTTATTCTAGAAGATTCCAAACAGGAGACTGTTTACTTGTGTTCCTTTAGAACAGTGGTTCTCAACCTTCCTAATGCCGCGACCCTTTAATACAGTTCCTCATGTTGTGGTGACCCCCAACCATAAAATTATTTTCATTGCTACTTCATAACTGTAATTCTGATACTGTTATGAATCATAATGTAAATATCTGATATGCAGGATGTATTTTCATTGTTACAAATTGAACATAATTAAAGCATAGTGATTAATCACAAAAACAATATGTAATTATATATGTGTTTTCCGATGGTCTTAGGGGACCCCTGTGAAAGGGTCGTTCGACCGCCAAATGGGTCGAGACCCACAGGTTGAGAACCGCTGCTTTAAAAGGAATGTGGCTAATTGGACTCTTCCAGGAGCGGGGGTGGGGTAGGGTGGGAGGTGACTCCTTCTTTAATGTCAGCCTTGAGCAATTCCAGAGACATTTTCCTGTGGCCCCAAGTGCTCCGTGCTCTGGGGCTGGTTGTTTACAGGAAATGGGCTGCCTGGATTGGGTGTTTACATTTCAAGTAAACAGAATTCAACATTTTAAGTAAAGCACCACAGGGCCAAAGCACCTTAGCCAGTGCCTGTGGGTGGTGACTCTCAGAGAGAGGCCAGGAAAGAACAGCCCAGTTCAAGGGGAGACTAGGATGTCCCTAGAGCAGCTTCTGTGTAGCATTTGGTTGAAGACCAGTGTGTGTAGCTTCACCAAGCCCTAACTCAGGGGTCCTCAAGCTTTTTAAACGGGGGACCAGTTCACTGTCCCTCAGACTGTTGGAGGGCCGGACTATAGTTAAAAAAAAACTATGAAAAAATTCCTATGCACACTGCACATATCTTATTTTGAAGTAAAAAAACAAAACGGGAACAAATACAATATTTGTATTTGCATGTGGCCCGCGGGCCGTAGTTTGAGGACCCCTGCCCTAACTGATCCTTCTGCCTCCAGGATTTTGTTGGACAATCCAGAATTTCAGCAGCCATCAGTTATCAATGTGTAACAATGGCCCAAAGCCTTGTCCACTCTACTCTGCATCTCAATAGCATAGGTAGCTTTTATTGAGCACCTACTATATGCCAAGTGCTATACAGGCCTTAAATGCCACAGTAATTCTGTGAGAAAGGTATCAGGATCCTCATGTCACAGTGAAGGGGGCTAAGCCTGCACATGACACAAGGTCAAGTGCATGGCTGGTAGATGATGGAGCAAGGATTCATATCCATGTGGAGACTTGCATCTCCTCAGGGGTAAAGCTCATGCCTATACTGCTCACCCTAATATCCCCCGGTAAAACCCCTGGGATGGCTGAAATCTTCGTGAAAGCCTGGTGAAGGTGTCAGCCTGCGATGATTCTGCTTCTTCTCTTTCAGGTGAAGTCTATTACAGGAGCAGATACCTGAGAAGTGATACCTACAATGCCAATATGGAGGCAAACAGGATTGTGGTGTCAGAGTTTGGAACAATGGCCTATCCAGACCCCAGCAAAAACATATTTTCCAAGTAACTGTCCATTTTGAATCTGGTCATGCTTTCTGATATCCTTGATGGTCAAAACAACCAGTGTTTGCTGCTCTGACGACGGCCTTTAGGGGAGATGAAAATGTCACGTGACCGGCCTTGGCCTGTCTTCACTAGGCAATTTTCGGTCACTGATAGCAAGAGAGGCAAAGAGCATCTGACAGATTATTAGGTATTCTCCCACATGGCTGGTGGGAGAGCAATTTGAAAGTGTCTATCAAAATTGCAAATGCACATTCCCTTCAGTCCAGAGGCATACTTGTTCCTGGTATCTATCAAAATTGCAAATGCACATTCCCTTCAGTCCAGAGGCATACTTGTTCCTGCTGAAATGACAAACACACAACAGGGGAATGGTTAGATTACTAACAGTAAAACTACAAAAAAAAAACAACAACAACAACAAAAAAACGTACCAGGCAGAAGTAAAAAAAAAAAAAAAAAAAAAAAAAGGATGTTTTCTATGTATCAAATGGGAAGATATATTAAGTTAAAAAAAAATCAAGGTATATAAATAGCAAATAAGTCCTGGCCGGGTAGTTCAGTTGGTTAGAGTGTCATCCAATATTCCAAGGTTGTGGGTTTGATCCCTGGTCAGGGCACCTATAAGAATCAACCAATGAATGCATAAATAAGTGGAACCACAAATTGATGTCTCTCTCTCTCTCTCTCTCTCTCTCTCTCTCTCTCTCTCCCTTCCTTCTCCCCCCCTTCCTTTCTCTGAAATCAATAAATAAAAATTTAAAGAGCAAATAATATGCTATATTTTGTGTAAAAAGGCAGGAAGAAATATAGATTTATTTTGCTTGTACATACAAAAAGAAACTGGAAAGATGCATAAAGGAGGTGGGAAACTGGCAAATGGGAGAAAAGGCTAGGGGAAGAATTTTAGTTGTATATATTTTAAATCATCTGGGTTATGATGCATATGAATGTATTACATATTTAACAATTAAATTGTTGGCCATGGAATCGGGCTTGCTGTCAGTATCCCCTTCCTGGTACTCTTTATATATTATAGAAGAATTATGAAACGTATTAGGGGTAGAGGGACCCAGAGATGGATGATGGCTTCTGCTTTTCCAGAATTGCTCTAAACTCACATTTGCAGGAGGGGGAAGAGGCAGCAAAGAAAAGGGGAGGGGAGGGAATGAATATAAAACCACCTTTGGGGCATCCTTGCTGTTATATTACTTGCCAGTAGAGGGAGCACTAACCAATACAGGAATCCAGGGTCCTTTTTTTTCTGCTTTGGGTTTGCCTTTTTTTCTTTTTCTTTTTCTTTTTTTTCAATTGAATTTATTGGGATGATGTTGATTAATAAAAGTATACAAGTTTCAGGCATACAATTCTATAATACATTATCTGTATATTGTAGTATGTTTACCACCCCAAGTCAAGTCTCGTTCTATCCCCATTTATCCCTTAACTTTCTTGAGTTTGCCTTATGATCAAATTAGTTATGGGTTCTTAACTTAAAATTAGTTTGCTTTCTTTAAAAAAACAACAACAACTCATTTTCTGGACAAATTTGAGGTAACCAGTGTGGACTCACATTCCTGCCAAAAGCAAAGATTAGTTGTTTTGCTAGTCTTTAGGGACCATTATGGGTACATGTATGGTTTCTATAGAGCTTCTTTAAAATCTTCAGAATAACCCACTAGTTCTTTCTGGCTTTGGTGCGGGAGACTTTTGGATTTTTGAGAGCCCAGGAGGGCTCAGTTGGTGGCCATGTTGTCCAGCTGATTGTCACTCCTTAGTTTATTCATTATGGTGGTACCTTTGGCCACTTGATATCTGAGTCCTCAAGTGACATTTTGGGACTCAGCACTTTTTCTGCCTTAAGTTGAAGTAGCACATTTTAAGTGTTAGGAAAACTAAAATCATCTCAAGCAGAATTTTCCAGCTGGGTAGACCCAGCCACTGACCCATCGATTTGCTTTCTTCCCCAGAGCTTTTACCTACTTGTCCCACACCATCCCAGATTTCACAGACAACTGCCTGATTAACTTCATGAAGTGTGGAGAAGACTTCTATGTGACCACGGAGACCAATTACATCAGGAAAATCAACCCACATACTCTGGAAACTCTGGAAAAGGTATCGGTGAATTTACAATGAGCATCAGTTTTTGACTCAAGACAGGAACCCCTTAAGGGGTGGCCATGTGGCCTGCAGGAACTCATGGCATTTACACTAGATTCTAAGCTTTTTTAGGGCTGGGACTGTGTTTTTTTCATTTTTGTGGCTGTTTTCGTTCCTAGGGCTACCATAGCAAGCGCCACAAACCAGGTGGCCTAAGACAATAGAAATTTGTTCTCTCACAGTTCTGAGGGCTGAAAGTCTGAAATCAAGGTGTCATGGAGCCATGTTCTCTCTGAAGGAGGACAGTGTTCTCTAGGGGAGGATCATTCCTTGCCTCTTCCAGCTTCTGGTGGTTGCCAGCAATCCCTGGTGTTCCTTGACTGATAGATAGGATGTATCACTCTAGTCCCTTCTAAGGATATAGATCATTGGATGAAGGCCACCCTGATCTAGCATGACTTCATTTTAACTTGATTACATCTACAAAGACCCCATTTCTAAATACAGGTACCAGGAGTTAGGACTTCAACATATCTTTTTGGAAGACCACAACTCAACCTTTAACAGAGTCCATAATTCTTGGCTCTGAGTGGTAGCTCAGTGAGTGTCTAAGTGAATGGCTATGCTGGACCTCCCAGGAATTGCAGTGGCCCTACCTTGTATTGACCTGAAGAGGGAGGCATTAGACAGAGAGCAAGAGTACAAAAATAAATGCCCAAGCAGATGCCTTTCCTGGGCCGAATCAAGTCAACATTTTTGTCAAAATCAATAGACCCACTTTCAATTTTTTTCCAGCTGGCCGTTCAAAGCCTCAATGACTTCATCATACATTTTAATGATCTGTTAAAAGGAGCACTTTTCTTAGCTGTGAAATTATATCCAGCTCTTTTTAAGCGAGGTGACATAGGTCTAACTGATGTATGAGTTCCACAAAGTCACAGAGAGGAAATACTAGGAGAGAAAGGAGTATTACTTGAACAGAGGATTGCCTGACTTTTGGCTGGGGGCTGTGCTGTACTGGGGAGGAAGGGCATACAGCAAGTTCCCAGGCCACCGCATTGTTCTACAGCTGTGGCTTGTTCAGAGTGGGCCATTATTGAGCTTGCTAGTTGAATTTTCTTTGACCACATTTTTTTTTGGTCTTACGTGTGTATTTTTTATTACTCCTCACCCAAGGATATTTTTTCCATTGATTTTAGAGAGAATGGAAAGGGGCAGGGAGGAAGGGAGGAAAGAGAAGAGAGAGAGAGAGAGAGAGAGAGAGAGAGAGAGAGAGAGAGAGAGAAACATTGATGTGAGAGAGACACATGGATTGGTTGCCTCCTGCCACCCTTTGGTGCACAGGCCGACACTCTATCACTTTGCCACACTGGGCAGGGCTGAACAAATGTTTTTGTAACCTCTCCATTCCCAGAATAATCCTATGAGAGAGGCCTGGAGATTTCTGCCTCTGTGGAATGCAAAAGGAGATGGTTTAAATGACTTCAGCAGAATGACACAGAGCCGTGGCCAAAATTAGCACTATGGCTGCCTCTCTGCACAGGTCATTGCTTAGAGCTCTCTGTGGTGAGGTGTCCTGTATTCACTCTGAGGACCCCGACAGGGCCAGGAAGCAGGATCTGAAAAACTGCCACAGAAAACACACGGCTCAGTAACCCCCTGCAACCTATTTGCTGTAGAGGCCCCCCATGAGGTTATATCAGTTCACAAGAATAAACCTTCTCTTGAAAGGTGAAGTCTGCCTTATTTTCAGATGAGACAATGTGCAGAACTAGCCTTCATCTCTTTGAACCTAGAATCAGTCAGCTATTCATAGGATTTCAACTTCTCTTCTTTTTAAAACCAGGTGCCTGTCATATTTTTCAGGTTGATTATCGTAAATATGTGGCTATAAATCTGGCAACAGCACATCCTCATTATGATTCGGCTGGAAATGTTCTCAACATAGGCACATCAATTGTGGACAAGGGGAAGACAAAATATGTGATCTTTAAGATCCCTGCCGCAGCACCAGGTAGGTCGTCCTGGGGGTACAAGAAGCACGGACACCAGGTGGCTCTCTCTGAAGAGTTCTGACTTTTGTTCATGACACAGACTCAGTCTGACACTCCCTCCCAGATGGTCCAGATGACCATGAGCTCTTTTCCCTTCTCTAGGAGAAAAGAGATGTTGCTGGGCTTTCTTTCAGAAGAAGTGAATCCTTTACTATTCTAACCTTTTCTGTAGTTTACAGTTTGTTTGTTTGTTTGTTTGTTTGTTTGTTTGTTTATTCATCCTTCATCCACCCATCCATCCACTCATTTGTCATCCACACATCCATCCATATATTTCTCATCTACCCATTTCCCTTTCCTTCCCTCCTCCCTCCCTTCTTTCCTTTCCTCCCTCCCTCCCTTCTTTCCTTCCTTCCTTCCTTCCTTCCTTCCTTCCTTCCTTCCTTCCTTCCTTCCTTCCTATCATTTTTTTAGTCTTCTGACCAACTTTTATATGTCAGGGCTGTGCCACCCACTTTCATGCCAGCCCCCGAAGCCAGGTTCCCAGGGTTGTTCAGGGAGCTCAGCCCTGCTGGGATCAACTCCAGTTCCCCACCCTGCTCTGCAGGCCTTCTGGACCTTCTCCACTTAGCACAGGGATCCTGGAGGGAAGCCCAGGCCAATTGCGATTGCGTGTTCCTGAGGGGGAGGAAGGTGGGGCTTGTGGCCTTATTTTGTCCAGGACCCTTGTGGGCACCTCACCCAGGAGACCAGGCCTCCCGTGGTGGCTGGAGATAGGGCAGAACTATACGGGTGCTTGGCTTGGCCTCCTGGTTTAGGAAAACTGATTTTCATCTGTGCTCCCGGCTGCTCCCTCTCCCCAGTCCTGTAGGACCTCCTAGGCAAGCTACCAGGCTCTGATGGCAGATGTGAGCAAGCCCCTGAAGTCAGAAGGTGCAATGAGTATTCTTGTTAAATGGAACTCCTATTAATTAAAGCAATAAATGTATCTAGGGTGTAGCTTAGAATCCTAGAATGTCAGACCTGGGGGTGGTCTAGGCATTTGAGTTTACCACCTCATATTACAGAGGACTATGAGGCCCAGGGGATCAGGTGACATGCCACGGTCACAGCTTACAGTAACGTCATGCAAGCAGCTACCGCGAGCGCCTGCTCCCTGCTGGTGGCTTCCCTGGGATCACACCCATCTCCTGCCTGCCAGGCCAGGGTGCTTTTCATTTTGGTTTGCTTTGTGCTTCATTTGTTTTGTGTAAAAAAGAACTAACCCGCAACCCACAGCCTCCCTCCCACCAGCCAGCTGTTCACAATGTGCACAGGTGGCCACAAGGAAGGGAGAGACGCTTGCAGACAGCTCATTAGAAATCAGCCCCAGGCCTGGGAGGGGAGGCCTTTTGGCCCGTGGGTGACTCATGCTTGCAGAGGAATAAGAAAACTGAACATGTACTGAGCACCTTCCGTGTTTGGGCACTGGGCGAGGTACTTGGACTACTCCATTATCTCACTTTTCTCGTCCTTCATGCTGTGAATGTTATGACCCCTAACACATAGCAGAGGAGGTAGCCAGGCGAAGGGGCTGTCTTCTTGGTTTACCCTGTAACTTTGGCCATAATGATAGATCATTCCACCAAGTCTCAGGTTCCCATCTGTAAAATGCGAATCATACAGCCTACCTTGATGGTCACAATATATGGAAAAACCCCTCATCACCAATAGGTACTTAGTCTCTCCCAGGTGTTTCAGAATGGGCAATGGCAAGAGAAATTCATGAAACCCTCTGAAATACATGTCTGTATTAGAAAAACTCCAGTTTCCCCACCTTTGTGTCTCCTTCACTTTGACACTCCAACACACTCCCAACAGTTCTGACCCTGGCTGGGGGTGAGAGGTTCCCCACACCAAGCAGTTCTCTGTGATGCCCACTGGTGTCCTGTGATTTCACTCAGTCCTAAGGCTATCTACTTGATAGTGACAACCCCATAGGTTAAGGCAGGGGTCCTCAAACTTTTTAAACAGGGGGCCAGTTCACTGTCCCTCAGACCATTGGAGGGCCGGACTATAGTTTAAAAAAAAACTATGAACAAATTCCTATGCACACTGCACATACCTTATTTTGAAGTAAAAAAAACAAAACGGGAACAAATACAATATTTGTATTTGCATGTGGCCCACGGGCCATAGTTTGAGGACCCCTGGGTTAAGGGCTCAGTCCCACAAGACTGCTCCTACCCCACTTCAGATGCCAGTCACAAGCAGTAGGTCCCCAGGTTATCCACAGCTTCTGTCCGACTTGGCTACAAATCAGGGCCCCCGCCCCCCGGTTTCAATTAATTTGCTAGAACGGCTCATAAAACTCAGGGAAACATGTTTGCCAGTTTATTAAAGGCCACAATAGAGTATACATATGAGTATACAGATGAAGAGATGCAGAGGGTAGGGTCTGGGAGGTTCCGGGGCTCAGGAATGCCTGTCCCATGGAGTTGGGGTACATCAGGCTCCCAGTGTGCATGTGTTTGCTTACCTGTAAGCTCTTTGAACCCCATACTGTTGGAATTTTATAGAGGCTTTCTTAGGTAGGCATGATGGATGATTAACTCCATTTCTAGCCCATCTCTCCTCTCTGGAGGATGAGGGATGGAGTTGAAAAATTCCAAGCTGTAATTATGACTTGGTCTTTCTGGTGACCAGCCCCCATCCCGGAGCCCACCCAGAGTCACCTCAAAAGATGCTCCTCATGCTCTTATCACTTGGGAGTTTACAGAGCTTTCAGGAGCCCGGGGTCATGGGTGGGGTCAAAGACCAAACATTAGAACAAGAGATGTTCCTCATGCTCTCACTATTTAGGAAACTACACAGGTTTTAGGAGCCCCATGCCAGGGCCTGGGGGCAGACGCCAAAATATACTTTTTCTATTAACTCACAATGTCAGATGAGGGTCCTCAGCTAAATATCCAAGCATTAGCCTGAGAGCTGGCCCCTCCCCTGGGCCAGCCTGATGGAGCCTCAGGCCCAGCCCGCCTGCTGAGCCCAACTCCATGTTTCATTACGCGCCTCAGCTGATCCATATGCACATCAGAGTTTGAGAGCATTGCTCCAGAACAGGGGCTGACAAACGTTTCCAGTAAATATTTCTGAGAGTCAATATTTGAGGCTTTGCAGACAGGTAGTCTCTGTTGCAACTACTCAGCAGCGCTGCTCTGGCTCGAAAACAAAAGCAGCCGTGGCCCCTGCATAAAGGAGGAAGCATGCTGTGTTTGTAATAAACCTTCATCGAAAAGCAGGTGGAGGCGGGTTAAACCTGAGGCTGTGGTTGTGGACCCCTGGCCCAGAGGTCTGACTGTGGTTCAGTTTTCAGATGCAGAACCAGGTCTCAGAGTGGGGTGGGCCTGTGCCCCGCATCAGCTAGGCAGCACCCCTTCACCTGCTTTCCTCGTCAGCTCCTTTTCCAAGGTTCTTAGTGACCAGGTCAGTTTGAGGGGCTCTGCTGCAGGTGATGGTGCTGTGGTTTGGGCAGCCAGGCCCTGCTTGGTGCCTGAGGCTTGCTTTTCTCCAGACAGAACGAAGAGGAAGAGCCCCCTGCAGCACACGGAGGTGCTCTGCTCCATCCCCTCCCGCACCCTCCTCTCCCCAAGCTATTACCACAGCTTCGGGGTCACCAAGAACTACATCGTTTTTCTCGAGCAGCCCTTCAAGTTGGATATTCTCAAGATGGCAACTGCGTACATCCGGGGAGTGAGCTGGGCTTCTTGCCTGGCTTTCCACAGGGAGGACAAGGTAAGCCCTGGCTGGGCCTCATGAGGACACGCAACATGAGGACAGCCAGAGTGAGGTGTCCCTGGACACTGAGACGGAGGTCAGCACGGAGGAGGTTTCGTAGGAAAGGAGGAAGTAAGCTACCATACAGCCTCCCCGGAGGCATCAGCCAACCTTCCAGAGAGTTCTGAACTTAGGGTGGTCCTTCAGAGAGGTCCTGAGTTAGGGCAAGGATGCTGGGCCTTTATGGTCCCAAATCAATAAGTCAGTGAAGAAGACTGTCCTGAAAAGGTAGCCTCATCAACCAAGGCAGTCCCCACTCACCTCAGTCCTAACCAATATCTGGGCTCCTTCAGCCTCCATTGTCCATCGACAAGGCCTTTTCAGCACCCCTGTGGCCGCTGTGTAATGTCAGGGCAGGGGGGCCGTAGATTGTTCAGACATCATAATGAGAGCGTTCCACCAGACGGTACAACAGAAACATCTTCCATGTAGGGACACCTGGGTGCACCAAGTATGTATGTGTGGATGCATGTGAGTGTGTCCATGTAGGTATGATGTCTATATATGTCTTCACATGTGTATATGTGTATAAATGTGTGTATGTCTATATATATGCATGTACATGTGTATGTATGTTTTTTTTTGCTGCTGTTACTTGTGAAATATTATCAAGTAATTTCTATACTTCCGTGCCATTCAGATAATATGGAAGTATAGAAACCAACCTATTAGGCCCCTTCCCACCTCGTCCCCACTCCTCCCCCCCAACCATTGCCCTCTCCAGAGAGAACTACCATATCCGTTTGACATCCTTCTGTTCCTCTTTCCACGCACCACACGCATCTTTATGTACATATACAAATGTGTATCCCCCCCTCCCCTGCTCTTTAAGGCCTATCTTTTCTTCTCAGGGAGAAGAGTAAGGTGTTCAAAGGAACAAAGGGCTTAGGTGTGGTCCCTCCTCTGCTAAGGCCTTCCACTTATTTTCCATATTCCTTGGAATAAGATCCAAAGGCCTCACTCTTTGGCCTGTAAATCCCTACACACCTCATCCCAACCAGGGGCTCCCTGCTCACTCCACCTCCTCCTGTATCTCAAACCAGCCACACACATTCCTGCCTCAGCACCTTTGGGTTTTCTATCCCCTGGAATATTCTTCCCCGCATGGCTTCCTACCGAAACTACTCTAGGTCTCAGCTCCAGCCCCCTGACCTCGAGGCCTTCCTTGGTGAACTTATCTATAACAGACCCTTCCCCAGGCTTCTCCATCCCCGGGTCTGCTTCACTTTTCTCAGTAGCGCTCATCATCCTTGACAGATGATATATTTGATCATGGGCTGTCGGCCTCACCCCAACTGAAATATAAATTGCAGGAAAGCAGAGGCTTGGTTTTATTTTGTCTCTCTAGTTCCTGAGAAATTGCCTATGTCATAGACCCTCTATAAATATCTGTGGAATGAATGAGTGGGGCAAGGGGGCGGCAGGGGAGCCAGTTAAATCCCCCAAACACTTCTGGGAATGGCGAAGTTAGGCCACATTGTTTACTCATAGGGTGAACCATAGGTAGTCTCTTGTGTGCATTCCATTGTTCTGCCTCCCCACGTCTCTGACTTCTCCCAGGATGTCAATTAAAAAGGGGCTGAGCTTTTTGTCAACCTGTCTGCAGTGTTTTTCATTTATGTGTTCACTCTCTTAAAATGCAAAGAAAGACTGCTTCCTTAGAGAGTGCTCATACCAAAAATAAAAAATCCTCAAACACCTGAGGCGCATCCCACTGGCAGGAGCTGCAGGGCCCTCTGTGCCTCCACCCTGAGGCCCCTGGGGATTGCCCGGCTCTGGAGGGCAGGCTGAGAACCCTGGGAGAGCTTTGGAAGACATTTCGAAGAGAACTTTCTGAAAGACCCAGGGATTGGGATCCTAGGGAAGAAAAGGCCTAAAATAATTACCCCTGTACTCACTGTCCTGCTAACTCCCACCACCATGCTATCAAAGCTTTCCTCCTCTGCACCCTGCCCAACATTCAAAACTTGATTCTGAGGAAGGTAAGAGAGAAGCAAACAAGCAGGGAGGAGGTGGTGAAACATCAGCCCGGAGTGGTCCCTCCCTTCTTTTCAGGAGGAGGGTGATAGGGCCAGAGCTGCCAAAAGATAGAACCACCCCCCACCTTTTGGATTAGGCAACTGGGGCTGCAGATATGGCTAATTACCACCCAGGGTGACACCATCTCGTGACACCCAGAGTGTGTGCAGCGGCCTCATGAGCAGATACCCGTGTGGGATCCTTAGCTAGAACCAGGTCACTCAGCCCTCCAGGGCAGGGGTGTTGCTGTGGCAACCGCATCCCGGTTGTAGGGTGCAGGTTGGAGAGGGGACCCAAAAGGGAAGGTGTGGTTTCAGAGTGTTAGGGGCTCTGGCTGTGGATGGAGCCTGGGAAGCCCTAGAGCTCTGGCACCTCGCCAGTTCTCTCCAACTCGGCCATTTCCAGGGAGCTGGCATGTTGCCGCCCACCTGGAATCACAACCAAGGGAAACAGTGCACCCCCCGGGGCCTCCCCCAAACACTGTCCTGGTGACACAGAAGCCCTGGCCCACAAACTTCCTCTCGGTGGGAAAGAGATGATCCCAGACATGCAGCAAGTGACAGCCCCACATACTCAGTGCTCTGCGGGGCTGGCACTCTGGAGAGGGACACAAGGTCGGAAGGGGGAAGGGACACTCAGGGCATAAGCCAGTACGTGACAGGGCTGGGTCTTGTCCCGTACCTGAGGCCACCGCGCTGGGCCAACAGAGGGGGAGCTGACCACTGGCTGTGCCTCTTCTTTCAGACTTACATTCACATTGTCGACCAAAGGACTGGGAAGCCCGTGTCCACCAAGTTTTACACGGACCCTATGGTGGTCTTTCATCACATCAACGCCTACGAAGAGGACGGCTGCCTTCTGTTTGACGTCATCGCCTACGAGGACAGCAGCCTGTACGACTGCTTCTACTTGGACAACCTGAAACAAGGCTTCGAAGGGAACTCCAGGATCGTCCCTGTCCCCACCCTCAAGAGGTTCGCCGTGCCCCTCTGCACGGACAAGGTAATGGCTTAAAGGAAGGCTGTTTTATTCCTGGGGAGACATGAGTGCCAGGTAGGAAGCTGAGTTGGTTGACATTGAAATCCAAAATGAGTTGTTCTTAAAGAGAGACAGAAAAAGGTTTTCATTATTTTCCCATAGTTAGTAGATAGTCATAGTAGAAACTAGAAAATATAGATTAAGTAAAAAGGAAAGAAATTCCCCCATAAACCCCTTGTAGATATATTTGTATTGCCCACCCCCCAAGTCAGTCTCTCTCTCTTTCTCTCCATAGCTAGCTAGCTAGCTAGACAGACACACTGATATATATATATATATATATATATGTATATATATATGTATATATGTACATAATTGATATATGTATACAGTATATGTATATTATATATACTATATACATATTGATATATATCTTGATAAAGTGATTAAACTTATGTAGTGTGATTTAATTTTACAAAAGGAAATCAATCACACTGTACATATTTTTAACTGCTTTATTTATTTGTTTATTTTAAATCTATTTTTTATTGATTTCAGAGAGGAAGGGAGAGGGAGAGAGAGATAGAAACATCAATGATGAGAGAGAATCATCAATCAGCTGCCTTCTCTACGCCCCACAATGGAGATTGAGCCTGCAATTCAGGCATGTGCCCTTGACTGGAATTGAACCCGGGACCCTTTAGGCCACAGGCTGACACTCTATCTACTGAGCCAAACCAGCTAGTGCTAACTGCTTTATTGAGATATAATTCAATAAAGCCATATAATTTACCCATTTTCACCCATTTAAACTATAATTCAATGGCATTAATATATTCACAGAGTTGTGCAATTATCACCACAATCAATTTTAAAACATTTTTATTACCCCCAGAAGAAATCTCGTACCCCTTAATCATAACACCTCCCAAATCCCTCCATCCCCCTGCCCTAGGCAACCACTACTCTACTTCCTGTCTCTGAGGATATATTTCTCGGGCATTTCATAGAAATGGATCATATGGGAGTGGTTTTCCATGACTGGCTTCTTTCACTCAGCATCATGTTTTCAAGGTTCATCTGTGTTGTAGTATGTGTCCATACATGGCCGAATGTGTACATACTCTTTTGTGTACTGCTTTTCCCACCTATTTGTATATCTAAGTATCTTTCCATGACATTAAATGTTCTTCTACAACATCGTTTTGCTATTTTCCTGACAGCTTATGGCAGGGATTCAACACCATTTGCCTACCTGGTGCCCTGCTGTTGAATAGTTCTGTTCTTGCATTAAAAATGACCACTAGGTCAGATATTATCCTTAATTAGGGTGATGCTGCCAGAGTTCTGGACTTGGTTTTGGAGGCTACAGAGGCTTCTGGCTCCAGAACTCACTGACTTCATGACTTAATTAATTTAAATGAAGCCAAATTCATTTCAATTCAATTTTGATGGCTCATATTTACTAACTGCACTCTATATGCCAGGTATTCTGCTAAGTGTTTTATTTTCCTTACCTCACTTAATGATCCAACCAACCTGTGGGAGAGGTCCTTATATTAGACTCATTTAATTGATGAAGACACTGAGGCTCAGAGATGTTAAAGAATGTGCCCAAGGTCACACAGCTCAGAATGGCAGGGCCAAGGTTATTATCTGCACCAGCCTGTCTCTAAACCCATCCTTATGGATGGTAAGGGGTATGACTCCTGGAAAGAACCCCCGATGGGTCGCACTGATGCCTCTTGGGGCTCTGCAGGCCTGAGGGGTAGGGGACACTCCCACAGCGCCCAGGGGACCTCTCCCACCCTCACTGCCAGGCTCCTTACTGCCAGGCTCCTCAGTGCTGGCGTTTAGGCATCTCCCAACCAGTGAGCAGGGCCTGCATTTAAATACCAGGTCTGTTGGTTGTTCCTGTCTCTCTGGCATTTCCCCATCTGCATATCTCTGTTGTGATTTACACCATATTTCCTATCACCTCTATTTAACATTTACAAGTCATATTTTTGTTTAAATCACTCACTGTTGAAAGAAAACCTATCACTACCCAATGGAAAGCCAGCCTTGCTTGCTGCAAATAGCAGGCAATCATGAGCATAAAAAAATGGAAATAAAGCAGTGGTCTTACGCTCTAGCCAAGACTTCATGTCTTTGTTAATAAGAAAGTTCCAAAATGTATTACCTGTTAAAGACTTAGTGGCACCTAACTGAGACTTGTTCCTTGACCTGTCAGAAAGCTTGGAAGAGAAAAAGGAATTAGCTTTCTCCCTGGGGCTATTGAATGAACTGGCCTTGTCCCACATAATCTTCACATGAGCCACCGCCCTCTGTGCCCCTTGCTCTGGGCAGGGCCTCAAACCGCAGCTCCTGGTTCCAGGAAGCAATGGGGGTGTCACAAAGCTCACAGGTGGCAAATTCCAAGGCCCAGCCCGCCCCCGCTTCATGTCGACCTCAGTCCGGGGAAAGACAGAGAGGAAAGACTCCCTCCCACTGCCCACACACCACCGTATTTTATAACCTTTTGTCACGCTCGAAAATGATTTGCTTCCTTGGAACCAAGCTAAGACGTTTAGCATGTATATTTTTAAAAGGCGCCGAGTGAGCCATCTGCTGCTTTGAAACTTGTGAGGGAAGAGTGAGTCTGGGAAGGGTAGCTCTGGCCACGCGTTCTAATTGCTATTTATTGTCCCTTAAAAAATGTCTCCTTGCTTCACTTTCAAGTCGCCCCGCCTGCATATTGAAATCTGGAAATCAATCTGGCCTCTATGCCCAGATCCAGCAGCTCTCATTTCATCCCATCCAAAGGCTTATCAGGGAAGAACTGCAGGCCATGCCCCTCTTTCTCTAATGCCCTTCAGTCTGGGGCCTTTGCACATCCCTGTCCCTCCGCCTGCAACTCCATTCTCTTCCCATCAGATCTCCACTCCAGTCCTGGCTGCAGGTCGGACTTACCTGGGGGCTCTGAGACCACATCACCTCCTGCTGGGCCCCAGCCCACATCCTCCAGGAGTGGGGTCCAGGGGTGGGCATGGCCTCAGAGCCCGCAGTGGATTCTAATTCACATCCAGGAAGCAAATTCCTGGTCATCCTGCAGGTCTCAGGATCCTTACTCCCCTCAGATGAGTCTGTACACTCTAATGGCACCTTCAGCTCTTTGTAATGAACTTGTTCAGTCTCCTTTTCCTGCTGAAGCTATTATCTGAGGGCCAGGACTCTGTTTTGTCAGCAGTTTATCCCCTGTACCCCTCACAGCGTCTGGCATTCAGAGAGTTCTCATTAAGCTCTTAAATATTTTTGAATGAATGAAAACATGAATCAAGGTCTCCAAAAGGGCACAAGGTCTGCCTTTAGCATTTGGAACATTTCCCAAGTGTTAAGTGTTTGCCTTGTAGAATGAGAATAGTGAAGTATATTCAGAAGTCTGGGGCCTCCTAGCTGCCCCAGATTCTCTTGTGTTTGGGCCAGCTGGGGTCAAAGGAAGGAGAGGCTGTTTATGTAGAGTGGCGTGGGGATTGTGGAAGGCAGGGCTGGGCTGGGAGGGGCGTAGGCGTGTGCAGACAGTCCCTGCAGGTGCCCTGCCCTTGTCCTGCAGGTGGGTTCGTAAACACTGACTTCCCTCCTGACAGCCATCCACACGTAGGGGCCGTCACGGGCAGGGGGTGGGAGGAGGGTAGGTATCCTGGACCTAGAAAGGGTAGCTCAGTTGGTTTGGTTTTTGTCTTTTCTCAAAATGTAAAAATGACCCAATATTATAAGACAGCCACCATGAGAGTTCACTGTGTTCCAGGCCCTGTGTTAAGATGACTCTTCTGCTCTTAGACCTCAGCAAGAGGGGCCCCTGCTCTGGCCTCTCTCCAGCAGTTCCCCTTCTCCCCAGGGTGAGGAGTTAAAGGGCTATGGAGTGATGCCCACCCAGAGGGACCCTCCCCCACCCCAACCCTGAACTGGCTACCCTGGATCCCTGAATTTCCTGCCCAAATAGCCCCAGCCTGCTTGCAGCGCCTGCTCCTGTCCTCCTCAGGCCCACGCGGTGGCCAGGGCTGGCTGCTGGCTTGGTGGTGCTGGCTGGGGCATCCATGCAGTGGGAAGAAAAGGGGCAGGGGCAAGAGAACCTGGGCCTAGAAGCTGGCCCTCATTCCGCTACCCTATTCCAGCTCCAGACTCCAGGAGTTCCTAGAATTTTTAATTCACACTCGGGACCAGCACCATGCAATGGAACCTGCTACAATGAAGGAACACGTATCTGTCCACCCAACGCAGTAGCCACCAGCCACATGTGCTATTGAAATGTGGCCAGTGCAGCTGAGAAACTGAATTTTAAATTTTATTTAATTTCAATTAAACATTAAATTTAAATAGCCGCATGCATGTGGCTAGTGATTGCCGTATTGGACAGCACCGGTCCACCACATTGTGAAGGTCTGTGTGCCAAGGCAGAGAAGAGAATGGCCTTTTACTTAACCATTGGCTATGTTTAGACCTGGGGTTGGTGGGCCTCATTCTCATTGGGGTCCTGCAGTTTTAGGGGTGGTTACATGCTTTGCAAGCTTCTCCTCATCTCTATGACAGCCCTCTGAGTGATTCATTATCCCGTGACTACAAATGAGAGCCACCTGCCCAACATCGCGGAATTGTCAGTGGGATTTGAGTTGGAGTTTGAATGCATGTCTGCCTGGCTCCCAGTTACTAATTATGATGGGTCTGGCCCTGGACCAGGTGTTTTCATAACCATTATTTAACTTAATCCGAGCCATTATCCTCAGACGCAGGTCAAAGGAACCCGCAGGTCAAAGGAACCCGTCCAAAAGTTACGAATGGCCCCCCTGTTTTACAAACGAGGAAGCGAAGCGAGGGAGGAAGGGGGCCCAGGGAGGCTGAGCAAGTTCACAGAGAAAGCTGTGGAGTCAGATTTCACACCCAGGGCTGCTGAACCCCGAAGTCCGTGTTTCGGGGAATTACTGAGATGACTTCTCCCTTGCATTTAGGGATTTCAAAGTAAGCTCGCAGAATTTTTGTTGAATTCTGGCTGGAAAGCCATTTCTTCCCAAAGCGGAGCATGTTGGCCACTGAAAGCAGCCGAGTCATGTTCATTACTGCTGTGTGTGGAAAAATTCAGTTTATCCCTCAACCAGTCTGACCAGTTTCAGGCTGGAGTTCTAAGCTCTGCAGATCGACTCCCTAAGAATCAAGCCCAGGACATGCACGAGAGGCCTATTGCTGTCATGTGACTAGCAAGTCACCAGGAGGGGCCTCCCACCTATTGGCTGTGCATCACAGGTGGAGGCATTCGGAGCTTTTGTTTATAAGAAACCGTAGATGTGCTGGGTGCTAAGTGACTCTTTAATGCACTTTATCGCATTTAATTCTTACAACCACTCGGCAAGGCACGTTTTGCCCCTTGACAGTTAAAGGGAAAGCTTACTGAGTCATGTATTCACTCATTTGTTTAGCAGTTACTCCCTGGGAGCTATGTGCCATGCACTGAACAAAATCTGGTCCCTGTCTTCACAGGGAAAGAGCATAAAAGAAGGAAGCAGCTCCCTAAGGAGATGATTGCAGGTTGGGGCACACACCTCAGAGACCCTGCAGATTGAGTCGTTGGGGAAGGGATGTTGAGCTGAGACCTGCAGGATGGGAACGGCCGGCCTCCGGGCCTTTGCACGTGCTTTGTCCTCTGCCTGCGGTGCTCTTGCTTCTGAGTAGAAGAATCGCCAGGTGAAGGTCTGGGCTCAGACTCTGCTTCTCTCTGTGTGTCCTTGGACAAGCCACTTTCCTTCTCTGGGCCTCAGTGTAGTCTTCTGTCAATTGAGGGATTGAACTAATAAAAATACCTTGAAGGGCCCCTGCAATCTAATAGCTAGGATGCAGTAAATTTCCTGTCCTTCCCAGCCAAAAGCAGCTATTGTTCAAATAGGTTTGTTTTAATTATAAAAGCCCATTTTGGAAAAGTTGGAACGTAGAGAAAAGTTTAAAGGAAAAGTCAACCATAACAATAATTCTCCCCAGTAAACTCTGTGAAGACAGGGGCTTGTTTCTCATTCTCTCCCCGTGGTAATGGCAGTAATGTAGGAGTAGGAGTACTAGTGACAATAATACAACAGCCATATCATCAACAGCAGCTGATTATCTAGCACTTTCTGCCAACCAGGCTCTCTTTAAATTATTTGCATGGATTATCTAATCTGCACAACAATTCAGAGACACATATACTATTCCTACAATGCGTATACTATACTCCATTATACAGGTGAAAACACTGAATTTCAGAGATACTAAGTAACTTACTCAACTCACATAACTAGTATGTGGAGAAATAGGGAGTGGCAAATGCTCAACAAATATTCAATCAATTGTGTTAAATCCCTCTCCTGAGTTACAATGATGGCAGTAAGGTACGGAACAGAGCAAAGTCTGATTGAAACTTGAGACCAAGGAACATCCTTGATAGATATTTTTCTCCTAAGTAAAATTTATTGCATGTTTATTTTATTTTCAGCGGTGATACATTTTCACAGGAGACTATACCAAAGATATAGATAAACATAGAAAAAGAAATAAGGTCTTCATACTGCCACTGCCTGCTATATTGTTAATATTCGGTATATTTCTCCCCAGGCTCTTTTCAATGTAATTATTTTAGCTGGCTGAGGTCAGGCTGCGTATGCAATTTACTCTGCTGCTCTTTTCACTCAGTATTCTATCATGAGCATTTCCCATGTTATTATGAACTCTTTATAAACAGTCTTTTAATGACTGATGCAGCCTTTTACAGGTGAATCATCCAGTGTTTAAAAAGTACATTAATTTCACCTGTGAGGGATAAGGTGGCCCATGGTAGAAAAAAAAGAGCCACGGTTTTAGGGGCCCCTGCCTTACCATCTACCAGCTATCCGATCTTGGAGGAGTCACTTACAATCTCCAATCCGCATTTTTAACTAAGAATACCAGTTACGTAAATAACTGCTTCCTGTGAGTAATGTGAGAACACAGCAAGATAACATACACAGGAGCATTTTTAAAAAAATGTACACAGCTGAAACCGGTTTGGCTCAGTGGATAGAGCGTCAGCCTGCGGACTGAAAGGTCCCAGGTTCGATTCCGGCCAAGGGCATGTACCTTGGTTGCAGGTACATCCCCAGTAGGAGATGTGCAGGAGGCGGCTGATTGATGTTTCTCTCTCATCGATGTTTCTAACTCTCTATCTCTCTCCCTTCCTCTCTGTAAAAAATCAATAAACTATATATTTTTTTAAAAATGTACACAGTAAAACAAATGTTTCCTCTGGGTAACAAGTTTTCATTTTTGTTGGAAAATTGATTCTTTCAGAATGCAGAAGTGGGCTCAAATTTAATCAAACTGGCATCTACGACAGCAAGAGCCCTGAAGGAAAAAGACGACCAAGTCTACTGTCAACCAGAGTTGCTCTGTGAAGGTAAACTACATCCTCTATCCCTGTGTTTAGGGAAGAGCAGAATTTCATGAAGCTCCCCAGGCTTCTTTATGTAACCTCCTTCCAATTCAGAGATACTAAGCACGGACAAGGGACAAAGAGGAAGGCTCTTTGGGTTGTCCCAGTGCAAAGCATTTTGGGACAGTTGTCTTTCATATGCCCTCAAACCCCACCCAGGAAGGCACTCGGTGGTCATTGGACCTGGTGATTTTCACGGCTGCCCCTCCCCCCAAATGCTGTGCTGTACTGAATGCGGACTAACAGGCACAGCACGTTTGGATCCCTACCTCTACACATTCACAATAGCCCACATAACAGGTGCTGTCAGCATGTCACAGAGGAGCTAACCAGGCCTCAGAAAGGTTGAGCTATACACACAACGTAAAATCCTTGAATAGAAGTCACGCCCACTAGAGCAGGGCTCCTCCACCGGGCACTGCTGATACCTGGGGCTGGTCATTCTTTATGGTGGAGCCATCCTGGGCATTGTAGGATGTTGAGCCGCATCCCAAGCCTTGACCTACCAGATGCCAGGACCACCCCCACCCTGAACTGGAATAAGCAGAAACATGCCCGGACATTGCCAGTGTCCATGGGGGGCACCATGGCCCTGATTGAGAACCTCTGCCCTGGAATATAACAAGTCCATGGGGCGGGGACCACACTTTTGTGCTCAGTGTTATCACCATGTGACAAAAGTCTGGGTCTGAGCTCAACACTTGAGTTCGTAGTGAACGGGCTTGCCCAGGATACTCGGGGCGTGGCAAGGCGTGGCTCCCCAGGTGGCTGTCCCATGCCAGGTCCAGGCATCTGGAAGGGTGCTGGTCTGGGGACTCTCCTAGGATGACCTCAGATTTGACCACTAACAATCAGTTCTGTAAACAGTGCCCCATGGATCCAACAACCAGTTCTGTGTGGCACCCCAGACTCTTAGAGTCTTTAAAAGTGAAAATACAGATCTCGTGTTCTAATTCTTAAAAAAATTTCTTTTAAATCCTCACCCAAAAAGTGAGGATATTTTTCCCCCATTGATTTTTAGAGAGAATGTAAGAGAAGGGGGGGGTGGGGGAGGGAGAGAAAGAGAGTATATATAGAGAGAGAAAAACAGTGATGTGAGAGAGACATCGATTGGTTGCCTCCTGCTTGTGCCCCAAACAGGGCCAGTATTGAACGTGCAACCAACTGCCTTGACTGGGAATTGAACCCGTGACCCTTCCATCCACAGGCTGGTGCTCTAACCATTGAGAAAAAATGGCCAGGGCCGTTTCTAATTCTTTAAATATATATATATTGCTGATTTCAGAGGAAGGGAGAGGGAAAAAGAGATAGAAACATCAATGATGTGAGAATCATTGATCAGCTGCCTCCTGCATGCCCCCCACTGGGGACTGAGCCTGCAACCCGGGCATGTGCCCTTGACCAGAATGGAACCCGGGACCCTTCAGTCTGCAGGCTGATGCTCTATCCACTGACCCAAACCAGCTAGGGCCCATTTCTAATTCTTAAGGCATCAACTTCCATTTTCTCTCATCCACCATGTGGTGTGGGAGATGGAGACTTAAAACATTATAGTCCTTTTGTTTCTGAGAATTCCTGTTTATTATAGCAACCGTGGGCAATACTGTAAAGTATGGCAATAAATAAATCCCTCATAATACCTCCACCTGTGACAACCCTTGGAAATACCCACCCAGTCTCCTCTCTTGTGTGTGGACTGCTTGGTGGATGCCAGGCCCTCTTCTAGGAACTGCTCAGCCGTCCTCTCCTTTCATCCCAGCACTTCATCCTGTTGTCATCCACATTCAACGAGTTCACACACGAGGGGCTGAGCTCAGGGTAGTGAGAGTCCGAAAGATGTAGCCGTTACTATTAGAGCAACTCCAGCAGGCGGGTGTTGGCACGACCTCTTCTTCTTTTAGAACTGAGGACAGCAAAGCTGAGGACAATATGGTAACAGGCAGCAAAGCCAGGATATGCACCCAGGTTTCTCTGACTCAAAAACCCTTAACCTCTGCATTTATACTTTTAGGAATGTGTACTATACCATACTATCTAGAATGTTCTGAAATGGCTTCTTCTTCAAGAATGCGTCTTTAATAGCCATGCAGAATTTGCTGGGATGAGTCAGACTTTACTTAACCAAGTGCCTATGGTTGGCCATTTACAGTGTGGGGGAAGGAGTCCCAGATCAGGATTGAGGGGCCAGGAGCATCATGGGAAGTCTCAGGCTAACTTTAGGCCTGACTATGGGCATTTTTTTATAGATATTTTTATTGATTTCAGAGAGGAAGGTAGAGGGAGAGAGAGATAGAAACATCAATGATGAGAGAGTATCATTGATTGGCTGCCTCCTGCATGCCTCCTACTGGGGATCAAGCCAGCAACCCAGGCATATGCCCTGATGGGAAATTGAATCATGACCTCTTGGTACATAGGTCGTCGCTCAACCACTTAGCCATGCTGGCCGGGCTATGGGCATCTTTTTCGGATTTAAGTGTGTGGGAGGTCTCTCCTCCTGGCGTTCATCATGACCTGTGTCTTGGAAGTTTCATGGTTATTCACCTGTAAGATTATATGTCTTCCCATCTCAGGAATCCGCTCCCCTTTGCTCCTCAGTGAGCCTGAGAAGCGTTTATGCCTTGGTCCTTCTCAGGAGGCCTTTCTGTAGCAGCTGTGCCCATGCCTGCTTCCTCTTTTCTTGGACATTATATTTTCATCAGCAATTGGCTCCAACTACCTAGCATATTTCATCAGAGGAGGACTTTCATTTTTGTATTCAGCCTTAGAAATTGAATTTGACACAACAGGCATATATCAATATGGACAAAATTTTAAGGATTTTTTAATTATAAAAGCAATAAGTACAATGAAAGAGAAACCTAGTGTACAATATGAAACATAAACTATAAGGAAGTTATCACCCCAGCAATGCTTCTAAACTTTTCTCTTTATTTTTTAGCATAGTGGATATAATTCTATAATCAGCCTTTTACACTTAATATTATGATATGGACACTTTCCCATGTTATTAAAATTATTTGTAGATATTATTTTAACATAAGGTTCTTATATGAATTCAACAAATTTATTTAATTGTTCCCCAGTGACACTCCTTTACACAGATTCAGAAGTTTCTTTTAACACCCACACACACGTGTGTGCACACATGAGTACTTTTTTTTCCAAGAGCTTTAAAAAATTGCAGTGGCTTCTGATTTTAATCGTGCAATTATTTTTGATTTCTATCTTGGATAATTAAAGATTTTTATATACTTAAGTACCTTGCTCCTGAACCTTCTACTAGAGCCAGGATAATTATCAGAGGTTCCTTCCCCCTGCCTGGTGACTACCCTGATCCAATCCAGGGCCTGAATGGAGTTCAGGGATCCTGGCCTGGGAGATGTTTTTGTGGAGAGGGTGCCCAGCTCTGCACAAAGGGCGATGTCCTAGTTCTCAGGATGGGCCTTTGTCAGCTGTGTCATTCTTTCTAGGCTTAGAACTGCCTCAGATCAATTACGCTCACAACGGGAAGCAATATCGGTATGTCTTTGCTTTTGAAGTTCAAAGGAGTCCCATCCCAAACAAGGTACTGATTCCTGGGTAATCACCGCTTGCAACAGTCCTGTCTGTCTACAAAGCTAGGTTCTCAGACTGGGTGACCTTGATTAGAAGATGGAGGGCAAGAGGGAGGTCCCCTGGGGGACAGGAGGTAGGTCAGGGAGTAAGGCCAGTTTGGAACCAAATACATTTGAAGCAATGATGAGCCCAGGGAGGGAGCCGTACCTAGTGGGCTAAAGCTCAGGGAAGAGGCCATGGCTGGAGTTTATCCATTGATTTCTTTATTCCGTATGTGTTTTTTGAACGCCAACTATGTGCTACAAGGTAGTAGGCAATGAGGATAAGGAAGTATACAGGGGGATCCCCTGCCCATCCGCTCAAAAAGGGAGGGTATAGCTGAAACTTGGAAGATTTAGTTGTGTTTTTTTTCAAACTAGTATTTGTGGAACACTTGCTGTATCCCACGGAATAGGCTAAGTGCTATACAGATACCACTTTTATCTTCATTTTTAAACAATAAAATGGGAAGTCTGAAAAAATATACAGTGCAAAAAAGTACACACTAAGAAAATAAAGTTTTCCGCACACACGTACACACCCCACAAGTTACTTCCCACTAACCCCATACCCTAAGGGAAACAGGCGTCCTGGTGATTAAGAGAAGTCCAGTGATCTGTACTTTTAAAACAACAAAAGAATTGTATTATACTTTATTTTTTAAAAAGATTTTTTATTGATTTTTAGAGAGAGGAAAAGTTGAAGGCAAGAGACAGAGAGAGAGAGAGAGAGAGAGAGAGAGAGAGATCGATTGGCTGCCGCCTGCAAGTCCCCACTGGGGATCAAGTCAACAGCCTGAGCATGTGCCCTGTCCGGGAATTGAACTAGCAACCTTTCAGTGCCCGGGGCGATGCGAAACCAACTGACCCACACCCAGGGCTGTATTATACTTTAAATGTTTGCATTGAATATGTTAGTTTATTTAACTATAGAAAAATTGCAATGTGATACCAAACACCAGATAAATTCAGGATTTTTGTTTTGAAAAGAATTCAGTGTGTAGTGTCAGCTACGTGGTGGCAGGAGGACCTTTGCTTCAAGTTAGAGGAGGAAGCTCATTGCTTTCATGACTCCAAGATGTCATGTTGGAGTCTACATTGGAGGGGCTTAATCCTCTTTCTCTGTGGGATAAGCATGCTTTCCAACAAGTCATCTCCATGTTTTCCTCTTTGGATGTGCAGATACTAAAATATGACATTCTCACAAAGTCATTCTTAAGATGGGGAGAGGAGCACTGCTGGCCGTCGGAACCCGTGTTTGTGCCTACACCAGATGCCAAAGAGGAGGATGACGGTAAGACCTGGGGAAGGGGAGCCCACCCACTGTACTCTGCCTGTGATCACATCCTCAGACAGAGACATCATTTGGGGACAGTGGCCCCGCCCACATCACACAGCTGGGGGAGTCACGCTTTGAAACCCAGGTCTGTATGAATCCAGAACTGCAGGGTTAGGGAGTCCTCAAGACCACCCATACCTCTGACACCAACTACGAGTTTTGTGGTCCCTAAGACCACCCTTGGTTTCAATAGAAGGGATCACAGAACACACTGAAAACTGTTCCTCTCATGGTTACGGTTGATCTCAGCGAAAGGATGCAGATCGAAAGAGAAGAGGTGTGGGGGGCAATGTCCAGCAGAGTTCCATGCATGGAGCTTCAGTTGTTCTCTCCGGGAAAGTCATGGATGCCACCTTCTCCCCACAATACCCGTGGAGTATCACCAACCAGGGACACTCCCCGGAGCCTTGGTGTCAGAGCCTGTGGGGAGTATGGGGTGGGGGGGGCTTGGCCATGTAACTGTGGTTGACCTTTAGTCTTCAGCCCCTCTGGAGGTCAAGCTGACTCTGGCTTAAAGCTCCCATCTAAGTCCCTTTGTGAGGGTAGGTTATCTGGCTGGCCCCAGGTTAGCCATCACCTCCTGGCATTGAATTATTCGCTACACAAAAGTCCACTTCCCAGTGAGCAGCACCACCCTTTCCCAGAGTGTAGAATCTTGGTTTTAAAATTCACTTTCATGGCAGGGTCAGAGTTCTTCATTATCTAAGCGTGTAACTTTTGGGGGAAGGAGCACCTAGAAATGTGTGTTTGAGGCCCACCTTGCTTTTCTGGGTTTCCACATGACAGATGGTCCTTTCCCTCCTTGATTCTGACTTTGACCCAGAAATGCCCTGCCTACACCCATGAGGGTGCTAAGGATGGTAACAAGAACCCTGGGTGGGGCTGCCCCACGGAGCCTGCCAGCTGCTTCCCTCAGGTGAGAAGGGAGCGGTTTTCTACCTACTGATCATGCATGGCATGGCTCCAGGCTGGGGATCCCGTGTCACTGTCATCTCTGAGGTGGGGGGTTGTGGGTACCACCTCCTGCTGAGGCCAGCCTTCCACTGGGCTATGAGAGTGTGTCCCATCCATTTTCTCCATGGGCAGGGAGTAGCATTGTCTTCATTTCACCACAGGAGAGGCTAAAAGAATGAAGTAACTTGCCCACGGTCACACGCCCAGTGCCTATAGAGATAGGATTTGAGACCAAGCCAATCTGACTTCAATTATGCTCAGCCACTCTGAAACCTGGGAGGCCCTGGGACAAAGCACAAATGTTAGCTGGAAGTTTATGTGCATTATTTTGTTTAACCCTCTGTTCCTTGAGAGTGAGGTGCTTAGAAAGTTTCCATTGTACAGAGGGGGAAGCTGAGGCTGCCTTGAGGTGAATTGGGCTCATTCAAATGCCATTTGAGTGTAACTAGTCTGAATTTAGCCACGTGACGCATATTAGCCTAAATGCAGCATCAAAACCAATTCTCTCTAATCAGTTTCTAAATAGTAGAGAAATAGCCATTCTGCAGCACATGCAGTAATTTACAAAGTGCTTTTATGATTCATCATGCAAGAGATCCCCTCAGCAAGCCTGTGAGGGGAGGGACATTATCCCACTCTACAAATGAGGAGACTGAGGTAAAGGGACTGGCCTAGCCAGGGCTGGAAGCAGTTTCCTGACTCCCAGTTCCCTGATCTTTCTCTTCTGCTCACACAGAATATAAAATTCACTTTCCTTCTGTTTTGATAGATACTGACATTCATAGAGGATGGGGGGACATAGCTGAGAAGCTCATCCCTCCAGCTGGAGGAGGTTCAAGGCTGCACTTTTACAAAGTGTCTCTTTTTGTTTCCCCAAAGGAATTCTCTTATCGGCCATTGTCTCCTCCGATCCCCAAAAGCTGCCTTTTCTGCTTATTCTGGATGCCAAAACTTTTGCAGAACTAGCTCGCGCATATGTTGATGTGGACATGCACCTGGATCTCCACGGGTTATTCATCCCGGACACAGACTGGGACCCAAGGAAGCAGGCCCCTTCCCAGGAAGTCCAGGACAGGGCTTCATCGCAGACAGGACAGGCGTGAGCGGCCCCATGGGTAGGCTCCCGGGGACACAGGTGTGATCCCTCTCTGGGTCCTTCCTTTCATTTGGTGCTTATTCTTTTGGTGTTTGCTTTGAGACGAAGGTTTGGAGATAGAGCTTACCAGTATCTTTCTTTCATTTCATTTTGGCCATAAAAACCTTGTTTGAGCATTGATCAAATATTTATTGATAGCTCTAGCACTTCTAAGAAAGCCCCTTTCTGCCCTAGCCAGTTTGGCTCAGTAGATAGAGCGTCGGCCTTTGGACTGAAGGGTCCCAGGTTTGATTCCAGTCAAGGGTACGTAGCTCAGTTGCAGACTCCTCCTTGGCCCGGGCCCTGGTCGGTATGTGCAAGAGGCAACCAATCGATGTGTTTCTCTCACATCGATATTTCTCTCTGTCTTTCCCTCTTTCTTCCATTCTCTCTAAAAATCAATGGAAAATATCCTTGGGTGAGGATTAAAAAAAAAGAAAGAAAGAAAGCTCCTTTCCTATAAAGACCATGACCATAAATCAGAAATTATGTTGTCATGTATTCATCGCTCTTAGAATGACAGAGAAGAGATAAACATTTATCTTTACTTCTTCCTCTGTCCCCTTCTCTCCCTTTCCTCCCTCCATTCTTTCCAGTGGGCTAGATTGTATGTCTGGGAGTTCCAGCCTTCTCTCCATGCCCTGTTAGTAAATTATGTGGCCAGGAAGGCATGTTGCTTTGTGGTCATTCTATGCAAGGCATGACATACTATAAAATAATAAAAACTTTAAAGTCTCTTCAGACCTTATTTTATTTTTACATGGCTTCCTTCCTCTGAAGTTCTTCTAAGGCAATAAAATACAGTGGCAGAGCTAGATGGTTGGTAGTAAGCTTGATGGCTCATTGTACAGCCAAAGCTTCAACAGATGGGTGTGGGAATCGCCTTTTACAGGAGGGGGTTAAAGATTTGGACACTGACCGGAATGGCCATGGCTAAGGGCCCAGGATCCAGGATTGAGTCCCAGGCCAGGGCTGGCTTGAGGAGCACTTGCCTGATGCTGAGAACCAGGGCAGCAAGCCACACCCATGTGTACAGGAAAGAAGGTTCTCCAAGGTGAATGTGCTGTTAGGACAGACCAGGCATTTGGGGCAGAGGTGGAAGGAGCATGGTAGTGGGGATGTAGGAAACTAGGAGCAAGCCAAGCATGGTCCCATGTGAATACTGCAAGCCCCAGGGATGTGCCTGGTGCCTGGTGCCTGGTTTAGAGAACCAAAGGCAGGCTGGGTAGTTCCCAGATACCTATGGCAAGGGGTCAGGGAGGCCTGGGATTCCACCCTTAGTGTTGCACCTGCCTACTCCCGAGTCTAGATTTCATTCAGTCACCAGAGGGGATTCATAACATGTCACAAGGATGGGATGGAATCTCCCATGACAGTGCATGAATACTCCAAGGGGGAGGGGGGTAGATGGTCTTGGCTTTTGCTCTGCAGCTACCCTGAAGCCATACTTAGTTTCTACTCAAATGTAGGCACCATCAGGTCAGGGACATTTTTTAAATTTAAACTTTTATTGGAATAATTATAGATTCATGTGCAGTTTTAAGAAATGGTAACAGGAGATTCTACATGAACTTTAAAGTTTCCCCCAATGGTAACATTTTAGTACAATATCACAATCAGACTATTGACATAGACCAATCCACAGATATTATTTGGATTTTCCCAGTTTTACCTCTGTGGGGGTGGGGGGTGGGGGCAGGGCAGTGTGTGTGTATGTATAGTTCTGTACAATTTTATCACATGTATAAGTTCCTGTTTCCAGCACTACAGTCAAGATACTGAATAATAGTACACTGACACAAGGATGCCTCGGGTTGCTTTTCTATCACCACACCTACCTCTCTCCCATACCTCACCCCTGGCAACCACCATTTCTAAAATTTTATCATTTGAAAATGTTATGTAAATGGAATCACACAATATTGACCTTTGGGGATTGGCTGTTCTCACACAGCAGAATTCCTTGAAGATTCATTCAATTTGTTCCCTTGTTGGGTATGTTTTACTCACTACTTTATCCTCAGCATCTAGAACACTGCAGGCAGGTTCAGGTTCTCAATAAATATCTGTTGAATGAATGAATTCCCTCAACAAACAGATTCAACTCGATAATGTATCAACAAGAAATGGATATTTGTTTTACTGAGGATCTCCTGGGAAGATGAGGAAGACAGTTCACATGGACCCCAATGACAACACACAAAATTCCCATGCAAGTTCCTGCCATGTGTGATCTCTAGCCTAGCTCTTCCCCTATTAGTCCCTCAAAACCTCTTCTGTCCTCCCAGAATTTCCATTTCATGCAAAGCTTACAGATCTCACACAAAAAAACCCGGACCCTAAAGATGACAGAATGAAGACCATCCCATCTTCCTCAGACTCTCCCCAGAGGTCTCGGTACCTCCAGTCTTGCAGGGCACATCAGGAAATGCCATCTGTGGTGGCCAAAGAAAAGGGTGATTGATGTCTGTATTCAGGTGGCAGGAGTGGAAAAGGGTTGTGACAATGATAGTCACTCACCTACTCGTTATTCTACTTTAAATATTTGAGAAGAGGGCGGAATGAAAAAATGCTTCCCCACCTCCATTCTACTCAATTCCCATTGCCAAACAGCACCCAGACCTAATCATGAAAAAGGGTGCAGTTCTGCGGGGAAGAAAAATATGTCCGTGGTGGTTTGTTTACCTTGTTTAAGATGAGAGGTGAAATACCAGACTGATGAGGAAGCTTGGCACAACAAATCCTTTTTTCTCAGTTTCAAAAGCACCAAAGGTTAGTTCCCATGATATCTGACTTTTCTGGTACCTTAATTCCATCGCATTTCATACACAGGCCAGGGTAATGAGCTCAAAATGCTGCAGGAGCTAAGACGCATGTGCCTTTCTTCAAAGCACCACAAGACAGTCCATCCTATCCTCGAGCCTGTCTTGTTATGCTCCAGGTGGGTGGAGTACGTGACCAGGAAGCTCTACAGGAAAAATCACTCAGCTGTTTATTGCTCTGGGAAAGCCACAACATTTCACAAGTGCTCTAAGATGGAAGCCCAGGCACACGGTAAGCTCTCAAGTGTTTGCTGACACACTCCCCTTTTCCTTCAAGGGTTTCTCTAAGTTGATTCCAAATCAGGAACAAGCTGGATCTATATCCCCAGACAACTCAACTCATGGAAAATCTAAGTGCATTCGAGCTACATCAGCAGTATTGGTTCATGTTCATTTCTTCCCAACCAAAGTTACCAAGCATTGGGCTGACTCCATTAAGAAGGTTGCTTGTCCAGGTTAAAGACAAACACCTTTGATCACTTCTTAAGTTGTTTGAAGACTGTTTGGGTGGTTTTTAAATGAGAAGTCTTTCCCATGGCAAATCAGGACATGCAGACAGAAAAGTCATGGCCACCTTCCTCATCATCCAGCAATAAGGGTGAGACCATGGCCTCAACACCAACTTCCTTCTGGGGGTTCATTTAAAATTTTTTAAAATTTATTGGGGTGACATTGATTAACATTAGCATAGAGATTTCAGGTGTGGGTTTCAATGTTACAAGATCTGTATATTGCACCCTGTGCCCACCACCCAAAGTCACATCTTCTGTCACCATATATTAGGACTTCCTTCACCTCCCACCCCCTTCCCCCTGGCAACCACCACACTGCTGTTTCTGTTCACGAGTTTCCATTTTATATCCCACATATGAGTGAAATCTTATGGTTCTTAGCTCTTTCTGACTGACTTATTTCACTTAGAGTAGTGTTTTCAAGGTCCATCCATGTTGTTGCAAATGGCGCTATTTCATCCTTTCTAACGGCCGAGTAGAATTCCATTGTGTATATGAACCACATCTTCCTTATCCAGTCCTCTATCACAGGACACTTTGGTTGTTTCCGTGTCTTGGTCACCGTGAGCAATGCTGCAATAAACATAGGGGTGCATATATCTTTGTGACTATATAACTTCAAAGTTTTCGGGTATATACCCAGGAGAGGGATTGCTGGGTCGTATGTTAGCTCTATTCTCAATATTTTGAGGAATCGCCAGACTGCTTTCCATAGTGGTTAGGGGTGTAGACTCATAAGCCAGGTGCAGACACACACAGGCCTGGCTGCACCAGCTGCTGGGCTGCATGAGGAAATGGTCTCTTGAGGTCAAGCACCAGCCAAGAAGCTGGAGATTTCCTCAGACAAGGTGAGCAGAGGGATATGTGGCGGCATTGTGGGGCCCCAGCCAGCTTCTTCTCCTTCTGGTGATCAGGAAAGGCTTCCTCGAAGTGGTTGGACGGAGCACCCAGCAAAGTCCTTGTAGGCTGAGGGTGCAGCTCAGGATGAGGATTTGCAGGTGGATGTGGGTTAACTGAACGAAGCAGGTGGAGAGTGAATTTCCTAAGAAACAGCAGTGGAGTGAGAGAACTGGGGGATTTCCCTCCCTCTGGTTATTAAAGTCCTATATGGTCATTGTAGAACACCTGGATACATTAAGTCCCTCTGGTTATTAAAGTCCTATATGGTATACCTGGGCTCCTGAGCATTAAGAAAAGAAAATGAAGGCCCTGGCCGGTGACGCTCAGTTGTACCAAAAGGTCACCCGTTCGATTCCTGACAGTAGGGCTCCATCCCCAGTAGGGGGCATGCAGGAGGCAGCTGATCTGATGTTTCTTTCTCACATTGATGTTTTTCTCTCTCTTAATCTCTACCTCCCTTCCTCTCTCTCTAAAGTCAATAAAAACATATTTTTTTAAAAAAAGAAATGAGGAAGACACCACAAAAAGGAAACCCCCCAATCATTCTGGTGTGGGTATTTTTCCCCCAGTTTAACATTTTTTTGTGTGCACAGTTTGCATATTAGCAATCACTTTCTAATCTACTCATCCGTTAATAACCTGTTGTCGTTTTTTCACAACGAATGATTCACGCATTTTCCCAGGTCACTAAATTCTTCTAATGAGTATATATTACTTCATCTTTGGGACGTGACACGATGTGCACTACCCTGCTGCTGGACATTTAAGTTGGTGGTGGTTTTGGCTGTTACAAGTCATGCCAGTTTGGTAGCTCTGTGCCTGGGTTTCAAGAGCTCACCCCTCTCCCCGGCTCTGTGTTCAGGTGCTTGTTATTTTCTTTGGCTAGATTCCCAATTTAGGATTTCTGAGCCAAAGTTAGAAAAACAAGGTTTAGGGTGTTCTT